CAGAGAGGTGGCAGAGGCCCCATCCCTGGAAACATTCAAGGTCACGTTGGACGAGGCTCTGAGCAATCTGGTCTAGTTGAGGATGTCTCTGGTCACTGCAGCGGGGTTGGGCTAGATAACCTCTAAAGATCCCTTCCAACCCAAAGCATTCTATGATTCTGTGATATCTCTCTTAAAGATACACTGTCTTTTAGCCAAAAGTTATGGGCTTGAGGCAGGATTTAGTAGATAACATCCTTTAAGATGTGTTATATGGGAGATCAGATTAGATGATTGTGATGAATCTGTGCAAAAGATTTCTCTCCCTGCCAGCCTCCCACATGTTTTTTTATCAGCTTTGTCTTTTCCCTTTACAAGTGAAACAATGAGTAGGATTTTCAATGTGGGATCAGTTTTGCTAAAGATGGATTTTCTAACAGATTTCTGTCTGAGTACATGTGAGTAGCATTTGAACTTTCTTTATTTACCTTTTCCAAGCACGTTCACTAGTTTTTGATGCTTTCTCTCTTCTAAACTGTACATTTTTTTTCTGCAAAATCCACACTTAAACCAACTACTTTTGTGACCTCTTTCAGCTAATTAAAGGCATATTTTATGCATATTGGTGAATGTTCAAGGTGCTCTCTCTTCTCTTGCCCCTTCTCCACCCTTTTTCCAGTGCTGTTGTTCCTTGTATCTGAAAAAGCTTCTAGATTCCAGATGGCTTTTGAACTTGCAAACAAAAATTTTAAGAGTGATGGTTATGCACAGCACTACATAAATGCTGAGTAATAATATATCTGCCAGTCAAGATGATTTAACTCCATTCACAAGCCCGAACTCCTTGAACAATGGCTTATGCTTGCTTTGACTGGCTGTAATGAACAGCCTGTGAGTACCATTGTCTACCATAAAATAAAAGGATGTCTTTTCTGAAGCTCAGCAAGGTAGCATCTCTAATAGGTTTTGACTTTCATTTGTACTTTCAGAAATCTGTTTTTCTCTGTAAATTATCTTTTGAGTGCTGTGTCTATAATTGCTTTGTTTCAGCAACAAGGAGTCTTACATCGTTTTGATGAGTGGCATCCTGAAAGGATATGACACATGGAGTCAGATTTTCTTGGGCTAAGCTAAAGGTGGGCTGTTCTGTGTAAGGTCAGCCACCCTTGTATGAAAAATAAATGAACTGTAAAACAGTGCTTAAAAAACAGATAATTATTGTTGCTTAAAATTCTCTAGCAGAAAACAGTTACTGTGAAAGCAGTGCAGAGCTTTTCTGTGATGCTGCCAAGCTCACCTAATCTTAGTTTCGCACTTTATAATGAAATTACCTTCTTATCTTTGTAAAATGTAACCAGAGTGGATCTTTGTAAAATTAACCCATATAATTTACATCGTTAATTTACACAGTTTACTTGGTTTTCCTGATGCTGTTCTAAATGCCTTCAACCTTGAAATGAGAAATGGGCCTAGGTCGGTGTTCCTGTAGTTCTGCAATTGTCACCTGTTTCACTGGAGTAAATGGAGAATAGCAGCATTTGTACTGCTGTTGCTGTACTGATTAAAAAATTGGCGTGAGTGAGATCAAAATTCAGACCTGTACATCTCTTTTGAAGTTTGAAATCCAAAGGTAAACTTTTCTGAAGTGCAGGTGCTTTGATTCAGCTTGGTGTAGGTTTCTGGCTTGAACCGCGACTTGGGTTTGAAACTGTGGCTATTCTTTGCTAGTTAAATGGGATGAGTTGATGGTAGTTAGCCTGATCCAATGTAGCTGGTAACACATTCATATTTTAGAAAAAGCTGTCAAGCTTGTCTTGAATTTGTGTTTTCTGAATCTCGTGACTGTCCTCTCCATAAAGAAGCAGCAATGATGAAATAGAAGATGCTGCCAGAGTTGTGACCATATGAAAAATCCAAGCAGGAATAGTGTAAGGGAGGGCTTATCTTTAAACTGATAACAGATGCAAAGGCCTGACACTGGCTGGTTTATGGCATCTCTGCCATCATGCAGGATGAGAGAGAAAGAATTTAACAGATAGCTAGAAAAATACAGTAAATACCCCCCAGAGGGAAACCAAGCAAAGCAAATTCTTTGTATATTGTGGAAATGGTGATGAAGGAACCTGCCTCCTTCGATCTTGGTCTTCTGTGCTCCTGTTGCTTGTGGAGGAAAGCAGAATCATGTCTGGGACAATCATGCTTAGTTACGCATAGCTGGCATATTTTGGTCCCCAAAAGGCCTTGAGTATCAACTCAATGTTTGGACAAAGAGGCAACAGTTTTTAAATATGGAACTTTGGTAGGTGTGTATTGCGTTTCCTAGGGAGAACAGACCCAAACCCAACATCTAAAAATGTTCCTTTTTTATGGAGGGGTTGAGGAAAGGAAGAAATGTTGGCTTTCAGGTAGCTGTTACTTTTTGACTATCTGATTTGCTCTCTTCTGGCCCCTTTCACATAATTATGATCCAGTTCTTCTCCCTTTGGAATTCGTGGCAGCATCCCCACTGACAGCAGTGGGATGGAGGCATTCTTGGCTCTGAGCATTTTAATCCTGATGTCCTGGCAAAATTCCAATACACGTAATTATGTTCTGACAAGCTGAATTCTGCCTTTATTAATTTTATTAATTTATATGTTTGCACAGCACCTAGAAATTCTAGTCAGTCATGATACTAATAACTTTACTGTCACGGAAGAATTGTATATGCCCGTTGCTCTGGAATCATTTTGCCTGAAAGATGGACACATGGAAGACAGCATTCAGTTTTGCTTAGTAGATGGAATGGAGTCATAACTGCAAGTAATCTTTTACAGAAAGCTGTGGAAGCATATTTTCGGATTGTGTCTGTATTGTGCTGTGATTCGCGCTACTGAGGTGCCTGCGATAGCCAGTAGTTTAGCAGTGTGGTTTCCATAGACTCACAAAATATGTACCGTGGATGTACTTATCATTGCAATTTGCTTTTAAAAAAATCAACCACAAAAAACCACAGAAACAAACAAACAAAAAGGCCTCAAACTCCCAAATGATATGAGAAGGGATTATATTTTTGGTGATATGTTGCATACTTCTGTGTTTAGAATTCTAAACAATTAGAGAAAAGAAAATGTTTTTCTGATTTCAGTAATAAAATTGGTTCTTCTATTTAATCACTAACTTCAAAATACTGAATAGAGCTGTAGAGAAATTGTTAAGGACTTTGTCATTATGGATTTTCCTTTCTCTCCCATCACAAGGATGTTTCAGACTGTTACATACATTTAAAGTGCAAAATTTGCAATGACTGAGGCTGTGATGAATTGCTATGCTATTAGCAACCAGGCAACAACCATAGTAACTACCATTCTCTAGTGTTTTTTCTTGAATCTAAGCAAGAGATTTTTCTTTAAAACTCATACATACACAGACACCCGGATCAATATATTGTTTTTCTAATTTTTTTTTTTTTCAAGGCAAATACTCTGTAGGTCATGGTTGTGTATCACAAGGATGCTTACTAAGCTTGAAAGGCTTGAAATAGGCTAGCGAATTCCCTCCAGATGGGCAGAAGCCAACCTGTCCTCCTGAAGCCTGGGTGACTACCTGGGAAGTGTCTTGGCCTGTCTGACCTTACTTTAACTGTACTTTCAAGGAATGTGGTTTATAGCATGTGTTGAGCCAGAACCCTCAGGGAAGGCAGTAATATTTATACTAATATGTTCTATTATGCTAATCAAGCTGAATTAAGATGAAAAACCCTGGGACTGTAAAAAATCATGGATTTGAATCATTGATAGATGATATGGCCTTTTCATTGTAGCTTGTAATATTTATACCATATTTAGGTAAATGTAACATCAGAAATGCGTGTGTCACTGAGCTGGTAGCACCTGTTCTTGTGACCTGAGCATCATAGGAGACTTGTAGTGATATCAGTGTTGTTACACTACAAAGGAGTGTTCCACTGGTTGAGTTGTTGCCTTTTGGTGTCATAGGGGCACTGTTGGAGTAGAAAATAAAATACTCCTGGCTAAGAATTTTCTGGCTAGGAATGCAGGCACATGCTAGTAAAATCCGTGTAAGGCATTTATGATTTTATCTGTATAAGTATGCTTGCTTGCATATTCTTTCTCTGTTACTAGGGCTAAGCTTCATAAAACTTATGTTGATGTGTCTGAATATGTATGTCTTAGGCAGTTAAGTAAGCTGTGTTTAACCCTGTCAGAGCTTTGAAGATATGTATGTGTAATATCCCATATTTTGTCATGCCCATATCCTTGACTGAAGAGTGGGTGTACAGTATGCATTGAAATCTCAACTAATAAAGCAATGCAAAATTTTGCAGGTTCATTTCTTAAAAAAGTAAAAATAAGTCCAGTTATTTTAGAAAGTTCTTAGAAACATTTTTAGAAACTATTTTAGAAAGTTTCTTAGAAAGAAAGTGACTTTTATCAGTATACTTTCAAAGAACTCTTCCAATATTTCCAATAATATTATGCACAGTTTAAATAAAAAAGCATTTTTATTCAGCTTCTCATGACTGAAGTGATTTGAGTTCTGTCTTTTTACAGAAACTGAAGATCGTGCATCTGAGAAGTGATTTCATATGTCTGTTCATGTGTGAGTGTGTATGTGTGTTAGAGAAAGATATACCTGTAATAATGAAATTGTCTGTATCATGGCATATATGCACACATTTCTGATGGATATTTCGTCCTTGGAAATGTTGAAAGCTGAATGCTGATAACGTATTTATAATACAGTATATAGTGTTCACTAGATCAGACATCATTTTACTGAATGCCAGAGATGCTTATGTTAGATAAAAGGTATGGTGTGGAGATGGTTCAAAGCTATATGCAAGTGATCACAGGGAACACATGGTCTTTTTGATCTGCTACCAGCATATGATTGAACAGAGCTGGTTTCTGATTGTACAGCCATGATTATTTATCTGAATATAAAGTATGAATGGAAAGCATGAGTTGTACTCATTATATCTGTGTTTCTAACTACTTCACTCTGCTTTCTATTTCAAGGTTGCCTTTGCCTCCTGGAGCATTCTCAGGTCTTTGGGAAAACCAGGAAACATTCCAGAAGTTATATTTCCAAAAATTTCCAGTAAGAATTACAAAATCAGTTATATAAACTTTTGGTAATCCTGTGGAACTTAGTACATTTAAACTTGGTAACATACAAAATTGTCTTATCTTATTTTAATGGGAGATGTTTCACATATGTGCTATAGAATTAAAAACATTTCAAGGAAAACTTTCTTCATACATACTGTAAGCTTTTGGGCACACTGGTTTTCTTTAAGATCTGAAATAGAAGAAGCAAACCTCAAGCTTCTGAACATAAAAGCTGGTTTATGTAATTTGATCCAATAAAAGATGTAAGCCTCGCAAACTTGTGTATCTTCAAATACGCTACTGCTGTTGACATGCAGTCATTCTAACTTGGCATGGGTCCAAAATGTACACTTGCCCACTGTGGGAGTAAATACATTGGAGGCTCCTTACTGAATTGGTTATGTTTCCTTGTCAGATGAGCTATCCAAGGACTGGCTTCCTCCTTTCCTTGTAGAAATAGATAGATTGGTCATATGTGAATGTCTGAAATGGAAAGTTTGGTTCCATAAAAGTAAATGAGTGAATTGATCAGACAAATTATTTTTTGTGTGCGCTTGTATCATGGTGATGATGGATGTTTGGATCCAGCAAACAGGAATATCTTTAGGGGCAATTTGACATTGTATTGTAGCAATACCATTCTCCTTGAGTAGATTCAGGCAGTATCCTCCTCCAAGCTGTCAGGGGTCGGAGAAAGGAGAGTGGGAAAAAATCCAGGTTTATTCATTGTCTTCTGTTCTGTCCTAGCAAAGACTACAAAACCTTTTCTGGAAAGGGAGCTGCCTAGTGTATTATGATGTAAGAATGGTGAAAAATATTAGAGAATTAAATTTCTCAGGCACCAAAACCATATTTCATTTGAAACAATCTGTTTTGTTTGTTGGTTTCATGGGAAATGGATGGATGTTCCTAGTACTATTTCTGACTTTATTTTTGGTTATGTTGTGTCTAGGGATATTATGATACTATGGACGCAGGTTATATGGATGAAGATGGCTATTTATATGTCCTGTCTCGAGCTGATGATGTGATCAATGTTGCTGGACACAGAATTTCAGCAGGCGCAATTGAAGAGGTGAGCATTGCCTGATGGTAAAATAGAAGAGTGAAAGATGAATAAAGCAAGCTGAGACTGAAAATCTCACAAAATCTCTCATCTTTCTGCCTTCTTTGATTGGATTTGCATTAGTACTTTTAACAAAAACATTAATAATTTCAGGTCCTTCCTATTAAGTTGCTTTTGAGGCCAATAATAAACTTAGTCAACAATAAGCAGTTTGTACTATGGGATTGATAAAACAGGCGTGCTTTGACATTTGAAGGTGGAGTTAAGGGGCACTATGGTAGCATGGGAAGCATTCCTGTAAGCTCTGATAACATATTTATTTGGGAATACGTTAAGATAATGTACAGTCAGGGTGCCAAGTAGTTTCACCAGGTACTGTAGTTTCTTAGGAGTAGGAACTTTTATTCCTAAAATACAGTTTTTAGTTCACAAAGACTCACATTCAGTGCTTTTTCTTGATTTGAAGATTTTTCTTTCACAGTTGCTTGAGAGCTGTTTTGTCTCTTATTGTATGAGCAGTGCTAAATGAACAATGAAAATTTCTGTTAAAAAAACCTGCTGTTAAATTGAAAGTCATTAATGTAATACCTATGCAACTCAAAAGGTTGAAAATAGTGCAGTTCATAATAGTATCTGAATTTCATATCATTGTTCACTCACTTCTCTGGAGCCGCTGTGATTGATTGCCAGTTACAAATTTCCCTGATGACATACCAATTGCTTATTTAGGGAGTACAGGAAGGGGTGTGCTGGGCACGTACAAGGGAAAAAACCACTTTTAAGAACTGTGAATTTAACTGTTCACTGAATCACAAACTAATCTGTTAGTCATTTTTTGCTTTAGAATGTCTATTATTCTAGTGACTATTTTTTTTAAAGGCTAGAAAACTTAGAATAGAAGAAATTCTGATTGTACAGAAGTGAACAAATTCAGATAAACATAGGCAATCCTTTGAGGATTGGTCAGCCAGGGAGCTGAACCGGTCAGTGCTCTGACTTGGGTCTATGAAGCCACAAAGGTGGCTTTCAGTTGCTTAAACCTCCTTCCCCTTGAAATCAGTTTTTTGTGTTGCTCTACTAAAGTGCAGCAGGGAATCTCATCCCCACCCCTTACTGCTCTGCTGCTCAGGGGCTGTGCTGGGCACTGGTTCTTTGCTTCAGGCTGAATCTGAAGCCAGTGTAACCAGTGATGCATTGAATCACCTCCTCAGCTGTGTTACCTTTGTATCCATCGTCCCAAGCCCAGGTCTCTGTTTTTCTCCCTACTAGTTAGGTCTTTCCCCCAGAAACAAAAAATGTTTCACCACTACGAAATTCTAGAAGCTTTTCTATTCACCTTTTGAACAAAGCTAAAAAACAAGAGTGTTGTTAATCCATGCACAGTAAATTGCTAATTGTTAAATGGGAAAGTATTAACAAGACCACAATTAGCTCTTCAGTAAGATCGGTAAATACAGAATTAGAGGTTCATTGAATCGCCGTCTAATTAAGTGACAGTCACCTTGTTAAGCAAGTATATTATCTGCATTAACATTATAGCTGCGTTACAAGCGTAACAAGTTTTTCCTTAGTGCTTTGACTAAAAATTTCAGCTTCATTATGTTCCAAACAGTTTCTTTGTCTAAGATATCTATTAGTATAACTGGGGCTTCATCTTCATTGCAGTGCAGTGAGTGTTTACCTTGCCAATCAGTGAATGTTAGCCATAATGGTAACCTCAGCTCGTGTTGATCCCTCCCTCCCTCCCTCTCTTTTGCCTGTACGTCTATGGTGTCCCTGTTTGCCTTGACTCTTTCTGAAAAAGACCAAATCAGATCTTGCCTATCTGAGGGAACAGACTGAAATCGAGGAATTTAGCATGAGAAATCCCCTTCCTGATGGTAGGATTTCTGTCTGCTGCCACATTAAACGTCCATCTTTGTGCCCAGTGATCATTCCAGGAATGACATTTTGCTTTCTTGAGATTTTTCTTACTTTTAAACAATTTTTAAATGTCTAATGCTGATTCTGTTCTTCTTTTCAGCTGTTTTACAAAGTTCACTAATTTTTAGATTAGTATTTACACTTTAAATCATTTGAAATTAGCTGTCCCAAAGTCAAAGGCGTGTTGATAAGATTTTGCGTGGATTAGTGAAGGAAAACATTACAGCTTAACATAAGACTTTTATGAAGAAGTGACAGACCGGAATGACACAAACAAGCTACTACAAAACAAGCTGGGAACACTTAAATCTCCACCGTAGGGGTCCTGTTGATGCCTGATAGGAAATTATGGTATTGATGGTGATGTCGGATTACTGTAGGCCTTTTACCTTTGTTTCTGTGGAAAGCATAGTTCCTCTTGTTGTAGACCTTACTAGTCTGCTTTTCCATAATTCACTGCATTTTCTTCTTTTTCTTTTTTTTTATTCTGTGGCAATCAAGTTGCTGTGCTCAGGGTCAAAAAGTCAGAGGAGGAACGAATGGGTATTTATAGCAGGAAGTGGAAGGCATTATTGAGGCTCTGGACTAGAAGCGGCTGAAGCTCATAGGTATCTGTGATGCATTGAAATACCATGGAGATTTGGATTTACGTAAGATTAATTGCTTTACAATTTTTCAGTTTTGATACAATGACTTCTGGACAAAGTAGATTATATGTGAATTCAAATGTACTTGTGTATATTTAGCTTCAGCATTTCTACAGCAGGCTCTTCTGCCCTCTGGTTCTGGCTTGAGCCCATCCAGAACTAGCTCCAGGCTGCTGCACTTGCCCTTCTGGATACGTCTTGTGCACGTCTCATTTCATTACTGTGAAAAATGTAAAGTTTCAAAAGATGTGCGTAAATGGTCGTGCTTTCGTACTTTGGTAGAGCATGCTTCTAATATTAAGCTAAGTATTTCCCGTTTGCTTTTTCGTAGCGTGGGACATTTCTAGGATCATAGTTTGTGAAGTGAGTATAGCTTCTGTCAGACAAAGTATGCAAGAAACACTTTGTGCGGATTTGTTTTGCTAAAAACTACTTGGCGTGTGTTGTAGTGACCATGGCATGGAGAACCAGTTTCTCCTTCCTAATTTGACTATAAATCTTAAGGATGGCAAAATCTGCATTTAGGATGGGTTATGGGGAGATCTTTGAATTGCTCCTTCCACCATCATTTTCACAACCAGGTCACACAAGACCCTCCCTTTTGTTAACTGGAACAGCAGTGATTCAGCTTTGCCTTCCTTTGCGTTTATTTCTCCTGTCTTCTCTGTACCTTTCCTGTCTTCTTCGTCATGCTCGTGCCATTGCATGAGTAGCCAATGCAAATGTGGTGTTCCTGCTTACAAAAAAACCCCACCAAAACACCTTTGTTCTTAAGACTTCTTTTAGTTACTCTTCCTTTCAGACATCCTGCTGCCTTTGATTTTGACAACACGGTATGTGAAAGCTGTTATTGGCAAATGTATAGACCTTGTATGCGTAAGTAAATTACTACACACAGTCACATGATGTGACCGCTGTTGGCCTTTGCGTAGGGTTATGTTAGGTCCTCTTTGTGGCTGAGGACAGAGGATATGTTGAAGGCACTGTTGACAGCAAGATGCCCCAAGGGATGCTGGTCACTGCATGAAAAGAGCCAGTTGCTTTGGAAGAGGGTTCACAACTGCCGGTATCTTAAGTCCAGCTTTGTCCCAGACTTAGTGACACACTTCTCAGTATGTACCAAGACATCTTGGTGGCTTTTTTCCAGGAGATGAGAACCTCAGTTTGCTGATTGGAAGGAAAAGAGACTCTCTGACTTTTTTCCTGAAAGAGTTTGATGTATTGGAGCTACTGTCCACCACTTGTATAACTGTGCAAACGTGGCATAGGAGGGGACTCCGGTTTAATTCCTTAATTCCCTTTTTTTTTTCTAAGGAGGCTGAGACCTAATGTTTCCAAGGGGGTGAGCTGAACTAGGCTGGCTGAAGGCTGAGGTTGGGCCTCTCTTTGGCTTTTGTTGAAACCATGCCTTTGTGCAGCAGGGAATGGAAAAGATAGAAGGAGCCAGAGAGAATGAACCAATAGGACTTTACAGCCCTGTAGCAGGAGTGCTTCTGCAGTTTTGGTCCTTACTCCATGCACTTAACTCCATGTTATTTGTAATGTTAGTCTGATGTTAATTGTTCCAGCAAAGATCTCACTAATGAAAACCAAGCTGTGGTACTCTCCCTAAACTGTAAGGAAATCACATTTGCTTTGTTCTCTATTTGTATGTTGTGCTGCCGTAGTTTTTATTTCTTAAGTCTGCATGAAAACTGCATATAAGTGGGTATGAAAGTGTGCATGTGCAATGTGTAACTGGAATCCTGAGGTGTACTGCCTACATACTTCTTGCTGTCAAAATGTAAGTCAGTCTGTTTTTTATGTCCATGCCTATGGATTTTTTTCACTGAAATGTTCAGTTATTACGAGTTCAGTTAAGTTTTGTTTTCTGTCCCTCAGTGTGTTCTCTTCCATCACGCTGTGGCAGACTGTGCTGTTGTGGGCCAGGAGGATGCTTTAAAAGGACACGTTCCATTTGCGCTGTGTGTGCTGAGAGAAGGTGAGCACGCGCTGCTACTGATGTTACTAAGACTTGCAAAAGTCCCGAAAAGGCTAAAGGATACGAACTTCTTCACTAGGTATAAAGACAGAAGAGAAGACGATTTTGAAAGAGATTGTTGAGCGAGTTAGAAGTAACATTGGTCCAGTGGCAGCTTTCCAGAAGGGGGTGTTTGTGAAGCAGCTACCAAAAACACGCTCTGGCAAGATACCACGCTCAGCTCTTTCTGCACTTGTCAGTGGAAAGCCATATAAGGTAAGTTGGGGATGTATGCTTTAATGAATTAGGCACACATGCACATCCAAAGACAAAACGTCATGGTTTCAATTCTCTAGACCATTCTGCAACTGGTCCATGACATCAGGTAGTACGTTATATTTTATTTCTACTGTGTCTTACCCAGAAGATTTTCCTGTTCCAGAGCTTTCCAGATACTTTTTTCTTGATTGCTTTTGCAAGGTAGATTTAGAAGATTTTCTGAATGATTATTGTTGAAGAACAGCAATCTACTATCACATGCTTCTGTATATTCTTCCTTTTCAGATAACACCCACCATTGAAGATGCTAGCGTGTTTAAACACATTGAAGAAGCACTAAAGAAAAATTAAATGGGATAATAGATTGGTAACAAACGTGTCAGTTACTGAAGTATGCGAAGAGACTTTATGTTAGGAAATACCATGTTTTAAAAAATAGCAATGATTTGAGACTAAATTTTTTATTTCAGAAATGTTACTGTGTTCTTTACCATATCGTCACAGACAATGAAGCATACTAAAGTCTCTGGATGTTGTCGTTATATGGTGGATATTAACATTGCTCAGTCTTGCAAATAGAATTTATACATTTATATAGCCTTAAAGTGAAGGAGTGACTGGATTATCTCATCTGATGTCATGTAGCCTTACATTTCAATCCATTACTGCATGATGTCACCAGTAACTTTTGTAACAGTTTACAAAAGGTAAGTCATGAACGGAGGAGAGTAATAAGTAGGAATTCTAATGTGAAAATTATTGTAGGCATAAATTGTAAATTACGAGCCTTTATGACTTTTAAATTTTTATAAATTTTAAAAAGTTTTAAATTAGTTTTCTTGATGCCACTATTTTCTTTTTCATAAGCCTTTCTGCCATAAATTAGATTTCTCTAATTTTTTTTACTGAATAAATTTCTGAAGTGTCTTTTTTGTGGAATGGTAGACAATTTCTGGCTTTGAAATCTGTGAAAATCTTGATTTATCAATAGTAATATTCAATAAAAATACATATTTTAAACAGAAGCAAGCATTTAGTCTTTGCATTTTCTGGTAAATTTGTTGTTGTGGTTTGTATCACTTATGATAAGGATAAGCAGAATGTTCTTTTGCTGACATAATTAGATGTTTCAGGCTCGCTGAGATATATGTAACAGAAATTTAGCAAATACAGATACTAGGCAGCTCATTCTTGACTTTATAGGCTGTTTCAAAACACTTACAGGGTTCTTAGCAAACCAGGGGGTGGAGGATACAGTCTGCAAATGCAATACTTCTTAAGCTACAGGGTTTTAACTGAACAATAAATGTAAAATTCCTCTTAAAAATACGTGTTTACAGAAAAGTTTGAAAGCAGAGAAGTTACTCAAACTCAGCACTGCTTTCCAGAGGAAGAAGCGGTAAGCAATACGCAATTTCAGATGATGGTGGTATAAAAGAGAGATTCCATACTTAGGCTAAGCTAAGGTAGAATTTAAGTCTAGACGTATTTTGCTGTGGCAGTATGTCCTCAAAAGAGCCTGGAAATACTGTTAACCCCCTATTGGGTGAGAAGTAGGGATGATAGCCCTGCTGAGTGATACAATAAACCAGCAGATTGATGTAGGAGCTAAAAGGTGGTAGATAGGTGCTAATTAACATGAGCCATACCTCAATGCTGGCTTGTGGCTGTGACCTTTTTGTAGAGCCAATGAGCTCTACCAGTGCCATAGGAAATAAGTAACAAGTACACGTGTATTTTCGCTAGGGACTGCATGCATAGGTATACATAGGTCTGTAGGTCATACAGTCATATAATACAACAGCCTAGTTTCAAGTGTACTTGTTTTTTTGCTAAAGAATTGCATGATAAAGTAGCTGCCCTTAGCTGTTTGATTTAGTTGAAAATCTTAGTCTGAACAGGGAGTGAAAGCATCTAAAGACTGGGTAAAGGCTAGTGATGCTTTATGGTAGATATGTTAACTATACAGGCTAGTGATTTGTATGTGGGAGTCATTTTGCTTCTGCGAGATGTCCTGGTAACTTTGAAATACTTACATAAGTTGCAGTTAGTTGAAGGTACTATTTTCTTCTGGTTGGATTATTCAAGTAGCAAGGCTTTAATAGGAGGCCCATGCCAAATAATGGAGTGCATTGCAGAGACTGATGAGTATTTTTCAGTTTCACAGTGCTGCAACTTAGCAACCTTTGCTGAACAGCTACAGGGTGAGAGGGAGGTCTTGGGAGTTGTAACTGATGGGTTTTTCAAATCGGTGAGAAACTGTAAGGGTCTTATAGCAGGGAAAGTGTGGCACGTTCATGGGGTGCATGGCCATTACTTTTTCGTACAATGAAATCTGAGACATGAAGTTGTGTATGTTCGGTGTAGTTATCCCAGTTGCAGCCATCATGTTTTAATTGCAGAAACAGGGGAGGGGAACTAATTAGTGAGAGCACAAGCCCCCTAGTAAAGATACTGCAATAGGAAGTAGGAAAGGAGAAATAATTTCCCAGATCTTCTGTAGTTTTCCCAATGACATCTCATGTTCCTACACCAGTTTCTCCATTTGTAAGGAAAGGTAACCTGTTTCCTAGTTTGGGGAGGGAATTAATATCAGACTTTTTTAAAAAAAAAAACAAAACAAAAACCAAACCCCCAAAACATTAGTAATGGACATTTAGGCACTTACCTTTTGGAGGGGCTGTTTGCTTATAGTAATATTGACAAGAAACAATTATCTGTCATCTGAACTCTTTGTGAGAGCTTGAATAGTTAGCATTCTTAAAAGTGTCTCCATGGCAAAAAAAGTTTGTAATAACTTACTTCTGCTTTCTGATGAAGCCTGAGTATTTGTTTATTTATTTTTTGTTTTGGTGGGAATCATTAAAGACCAAGACTGGGATGAAAGAGAGGGGCAGAGTGGTCAGGTGTACTCACTCTGCTACTGCCCTGGTACTGTGGAGGATTCCAGAAATGCCAAATGTCTCATTCATCAGCATTCAGAAAACCCAGACAGAGAAAGCCACCTTATTGCGGCAGTACAGTACGGAAAAAATAGTTGTTTCACGGGCATTGCTTTTGTTTTCCAGAGGAGCCTTTTGCTGAGGAACTGTGATTGCAGAATGCTTTCTCTACAGCTTTAGCTTAGTGCCGAGCTGGAGAAAGGGAGAAGGAGCAATCGTTCTTGTGCACGGCTCTGGTGCTGCCCAGCAACCTGCTTGTACCATCGAGGAATAACAAGCCCATTTAACAAGCGATAGGAGAGCACTGATTTTCTTAATTTTTAGAGAGAAGCATGTGGGTAGATTTGAATGGCCAGGGAGTTATTGAAACCTCCTTGGAGAGGCTGATATAACAGTTATTCCCAGTGTACTGAAAGGGTCGGAGCCAACTAGACAACATTCAGAACAGCCACAATTTCTAGCTGATGAGAGGAGAGCTTTGGCTCGTATGGGGGAGACAGGCAGGTACTAGGAGATTTTAAAATCTCCTTGGCCTTAGGTCAAAATTAAAGTCATGCTAATACTTTTTGAAAAATATATTTTTATTTCTTTCAGTCTGTTTTCTTCCACTGTAGAAATAAATAATTTGGAGATGCTGTACTGCTAGGGCAGGGTACCTGCAGCTTTGGTTGCGAGGTCTTGCTCATTCTTTTCCCCACACACCTCATTCCCTCTGCCCCCTGAATATGAGCTGTGGTGACGCGGGCTGAAAAGAAATTCTGTAAAATGGGAGCGAGCGTTGGTGAGGGGGAAGCGCATTCAAATGAAACTGCAACCACGGAGAAGGGTGTTGCCATTGCTTTACTTCATCCCATTCTGGACTAAAATAATCCAAAAGGCGGCTGAGGGGGCGATGCCCGAGCAACATCATGTTGTCTGGGGACAAAGGGGGCGGAGAAGAAGGGCCAACCGCAGGGAGGACAGGGCAGGACGGTGAGGCCCAGGGGACTGTGTGTCAAGGAGCGGTGCCTGTGCAGGGCTGTGCCCGCTCAAGCCAGCCTCTCGCACCCAACAGCAAGTTCGGCGCTCCCTCTCGTGGCAGATGCTCACCAGTAAATCCGTGGTAACTCCTACCTGTGGGTGGCAAAACGGGCTTAACAGACTTATAAACACAAATAGCACTGAATTCTTTTTTATTGACATTGGGGGAGAAAAACCTTTCACCATCTGATTGAAGTTTGCCAAATGAAAATAGACAAAACAAATGTTTATGTACGTGCAAACATTGCAGATCAAACTGGCAAAAGAAATAACTAAAAGACAGGTCTTGAGCTAAGATCAAGCAGCAGAAAAATAGCAAATAGGTAAATGACTATTAAGTAGGTCTTACTTTGAAACTTCCCATTTAAACAAAGAATAAACAACAATAACACCACCAAATAAAGCCACAGCAGGTAATAGTTGCTCTTCTAAACTTTTATACACTATATATTAATCACTCTGTCTTTCAGTTATTTGCTCTGATAAAACTGACTTCTGTGAAGTCTCAGCAAGGCCATCTTGGCTAAAAGCATAACGTTAGACAGGAGCCTGTCTAACGCCCTGTTAGAATGAAGAAATGGTGGAGTTTGGCTTCTCTTTTCTTTCATTTGCTTTGTTGAGCATATCTGGAAACGAGAATCTGATTCTATGCAAATATTAGATTTAATTTTCCAATGCTAGCTGGTGTCTGAAGATCCTGGAACGAAAAGGTGGCTCTTGGTAAAGCAAGATTCTTCTTGGTCCACAGGTAACATAGAAGAAAGTTTTTGGTTTTTTATATAAATCATGTTTTATTAAATTACTTTTTTTTTTGTAAACAGTTCTTCTGGGTTTATTTGTTAAGAGGTGAGCCATCATGGTGCTTCTCTATAGATATCTGACATTTCCATTTTGTCCTTAGAGGTCCATTTTGGCTCCAGTTCCAGGTTGTGTTGTTCCATTATACATCATCAGAGGCAGGTGTTCAGCTTGAAATATTGACAGATTTTTTCTCAATAGAAACATGTTGAAGCTTCTAACTCTGCTAAACATATTCATTTGACTGTTACAATCCAAAAACTGTAAAAATGGTGGAATGGAAAGATACAAACAGTATTATTGACACTGTATTGTCAAATGTTTGCACTGAGACCCCATGTACCATAGATTTTATTTTTAAAAAAATCATATTTATATCCATTTACATAAGACTTACACATTTTAAAAGAAATACATACACGCTAAGTACGTAAATGTCTAGTATTTTACAATAAAACAGATGGAACAATGTAAAAATGAGTGGCTTCATTTGATAAAAGCTTTGGATGTGCACTACTGCCAAATTTCTGACGACAGAGATGCTGAGAGGAAAGGGGGAGGTTGTTTTGGTTTTCTTTTTTTTAATAGTAATTTAGGTATTTTTTTAGTCTTGTTTTAAACTAACCAATACATGAAAGGAACATCATATCTGTTTGTTTGAT